AAGCACCCACACGGGATGGGGAGCATGAAGATGCGTGGTTTGGAGGAAGAGGAACAGAAGATCTATTCAAACATCACCAGTGAGGAGTGCCAGGCTTCCCGTGGTTGTCTCTCTTCTCTGTGTCCACCCACCTTCCCAAACCCCAGCAGGGGGACAGCAGAGTGAAGGCTGACAAGGAGAAAGGCAACAGAGAATTCAGCTCTTGCTCTAGACTTACTTTCTTTAGGGAAAGTTAATTCTACCAGGGTCAGAAAAAAAGCTTAAGAGTCTCTACTATGCCACCATAAAAAGAAAAACTCTGCCCAGGAAGAAAGGAGGGAACGATCTGAGAGTTAAAAAAATATTACTAAACATCTGTAAGGGTTAATTAACTATCTCAGGTTCGGAATAAAACCCTCCCCCGTCGGGGCCAGCTTGGACGGAGGGCACAGCCAACAGCAGCTGAGCTGTCAGGACACATTCCGAACAAGCAGCCTGTGTCATTCTGGGAACATTAAAACTGAATGTTTGCTCAAGAGATCAGCTGTTAATCTTATTCAAAATGTATACAGAGTTAGCAAATTCTGCGCACTCAACAGGAAGTCAGGAATTGAAACCATTTGGGCAGTTTGGACCTGTCATGATTCAAGCAGACCACTTAGCGGAAGGAGAATGTCCAAGAGCAGAGATACAAACACATCAGAAACTCCTTCCCAGCCAAATGAAGTCCCTTTTACTGATGGTTAAGAAACCTGCAGTTTAAAAATGTGCCAGCAGAGATTCTGGCCCGTCTCTGAAGGGGCTTTGGAGAAGGGGGAGACGGCCCGGCACCAGCTCCATGCCGTGGGTCCCCTCCCCTGCCGCGCGCGGCACCGGCCGAGCAGGAGCCCGCTGGCAGCAGCATCTCGCACCGAGCGATTCTGCTACTGAAGCTCATAACCGGCTGCGGGGCAGCAGCTGCAGACATGGCCAGGGTGACCATAATTGGAAGAAAGATGCTGGAGCCAAGTTTCAGGGAGCGTGACTGATCACAGGAGCTTCGGTGCGATCAGAGGAGCAGGAGTCACAGGCCAGCGAAACGGCTGCTCGGATCAATTCTTAAAAAGGAGCAAGAACGGGCGCACAATTGCTTTCTGAAGTCCTGCTCCCTTCTCCTCTCAAGCATGTTAGTCATCCCGTTTAAGAAAGGAGGATATGCTCCCGTTCAAATACGGTAACGGCGATATCAAAAGCATCGGAGTGCACACAGACAGTAAGTGTGCATGAGCTTCAGGCTCTCCGCGTGTGTGACAGCCGGTGGGCAGAACACCGGCGGCACTGCCTGTGTTGCACCGCACCATCGGCTCACACTGCGTCCCCAACGTGGGAACACACACAGTTCCCACCTGCTTGTGCTCTCCCAGCCTCAACAGTGCTGGCAAAAACACCACCAGCTAGTGGGGGCTTGACAAATCACACCATGAGAGTCTGCCAACGTCAAATTCACAAATTCCCTTAGTTTTCCTCTTTCAACTAGAAAACTGGGCAAGAATGAGGAACCTGTCGCTTGTGCAGGGCTGAATAGGCCTTTTAGACATATTGAGCAGAACATGCATCATCCTACTGGCAACAAACAGTAACACAAGAACATAAAACAAACCCTAAAGATAGTCATCAACCATACAAAACTAATTAATGGGCAGTGGCTGGTTTCCAGCCCCCAGGTTTCACACCAGGTCTAGGCAGAAGCTAATCTGGACAGTGAAATGCCCGTCCCTTGTATAATTTTTCTGTGAACCTTCATTGCCCGTGTCATTATGAAGTGATGGACAAGAAAAGGTGGTGGGAAGGGATAGTAACCGGATGAGGTTTCATCAAGAAAGTCATGAAGAGAGTACGTATAAATGTACATGAAACCACAAATTGGTCTGTACGGTGCTCCGTGTTACCTGCCTGTTGTAGCACAGGTTTTCTTGTCCTGCGTGCTACGGCCTCATAACACCACACACCACTGCAATTACCACCTCGCACGAGGTACAGGGCACCTGTGTGAAGTTGGTATTCTCCAGAATCAAACATACGTCCAAAGACCAAATGGGAAAATGCATCCACGCCCAGACTCAGAAGACAGAACTCTGTTGCCCAGAGCCTAGGACGTCCAAAACCTTCCAAACACAGAAACCCAGTGAGATCTTTATAATGCCCTGGCTATTACAGAAAGAAAAAGGGGGTCCTGAAGAATAAGTATGTTGTGAGGACTGTAATCTAGCAAGGAAATTTTAATTTTAGACTGAATTCAACTGGTTTGAGACCAACCCAGCAAAGTTGGTCCGTAGCCATGTAAATGCCCAACTGCTTATCCAACGGCACGAACCCGGGACTCTGGCAATAACGTTTCAAAATCTCTTTGCCCCATGACACAAAGGTCATATCCAGTACACAAGAATTCAAACACGAAAGCATGAGAGGAAATGACTAACTGCACACTGAAGCCAATTACCTTCCTCTTAGATCTGCTCAGCACACAAGAATCTTGCAATTCAAACAGACATCACCGCCTATACACAGAAAAAATAATCTGACAGCTCTAGCAGCTAGTTCTTGGGGTCTGTGCATCTCAGTACAGATATCACTGCAAGATAATGGAATTCTGCTCTATTTCCCTAAAGTTCTCTTACAATTCTAGCCTTATGCTGTAGTTTTCACTGTTCTTTCCCTTAAAGGCAGCTGTTTTTTAAATTGAGGATGAATCTATTCTTATTTCCGAGGTGATCCATAATTTAAATTAGTGTTTACAAAGCTTTTTGTAGTCCCTGAATAAGAGGCATTTTGGAGATTATACCTCTATTTTGCACATAAAGGCAATCAAGGGGCTGCTTCAAGCTTGCTTCTCAACAAGAACGCGGGTGAGCGTGTGGACAGGCTGCCGGGGAGGGATGCCGTCACAGTGTGCATGTTTTGCGCTCACGTGCTAAAAAGCAAACCTGCGTGGTCTGAGCCCAATCCTTTATTAACTGTTTTCTCCAGAAAGCCTGGCAGCTCTTTTGCTGATTAAGACTCTGCTCAACTTCAGGGTTTTTTTTTTTTAATAAACAAAGCAACTTTGACTTACAGTAGCAGGAAAAGACATATAAACCAGACATGTTTTATTTAATGCATGTCTATTACTTAAAGGGCAAAGCAAATTTTTTCACCAAATTTGGTCAAAATATTCCCTTTTTCAAGTTGATTCTTTGTCTCCCAAACATGAGCATTTGTAGTTGGTTTCTTGCATATTAGCCCATATACTGACTGAGAAAGGTAACCTGCCCTGTAACTCGGGCAGGTTTGTGCCTTTCGGGGCTCAACGCCCACATGCAAAACCAGCGGCGTGACGAGCAAGGCAGGAGGTGGCAGGGGAGACGCTGCAGTGACACTTGTGTGCCACACCATCCCCTGCCCAGCAGCCCTTCCCCCACCGTCGGCCACTAACCGTGGGCCTCTCCACGCACGGCGGCCGTTTGCCCGAGCACTACGGACCGTCTCCCTCTACGGTACCTTTTACAGCCGCTGGTGCCCCTTGCAAGCGAAGGCAATTACAGCGCTGCGGCTCGCAGCATGTGAGCCGCTTCTAAATCTGGGGAAGGACTGAACCCTGGCAAAGACAAACTGTCTCGAGTTACCATCCCCAGAACTGCTCGCCTGTGGTCCGAAACAAAACTAAGATCATTTGTTGCCCGGGAGATGCTGTGTGTGCCAGCTGGAACCCTCCTGAAAAAGGTACCGCTCCGCAAGGGCAGCACCGCCGGGCCCCAGAGTACGGGAAAGTACGGAACGGACAGACGGGGCATCGTCAAGAGAGGCAGATAACCTCTCCTTTTAGCTGCTGCCTTGCCAACATAGAAGTGAAACCAGTTTCCTTCTTCTGTGGCTGAAGATTTCTCTGCGAGGTGATCTGGTCACCAGGTGCCATTTACTTTTACTATACAGAGCTGGTTACCTTCAAATCAGTCCCCTTGCTCCAGCATTTCTCACTGGCACCTTTAAAAATCACTCTTAAATACCGCACATTTTAAATAATGAAGCCATCAGTTGCAATTGTCAAATATTTTACATTAAAATCTCTAAGAAATAACTCCTTGCAAGCACTAATAGGAAATCTGCAAGATGCAACGTGCTTCCCAACTTCTGCCACGCTGTGCTGCGGTACCTGGAGATAAAGAGTCTGTGGCGGTACCTGTGAAAGGGAAAACTGTTGCGACGTGCAAAAGATAAAGTGGAAACAGTTATTTTAAGGGGCACAAATGCTCACAAAGTTTATGCGTGCCGTTGCATCCCACAGCCACACACCGAGTTTGCAACACCCGTGCCCCAGCCCGCGGGACGTGTCTGCTCAGAACCAGCGCCGCGGCTCGCCACGCCGGCAGCGCTTCAGCGGGGCAACACGGAGCACTGCTGCGTAAAGCACACGTGCTGACGGTGCCTGAAAACTCATACAGAGAGAAAAACTGCTCCTTTACAGAAAAAAAAACCCACATGAACAGAAAATAAATAAGAATATTAGAGAGCCCCTGATCCAGGTCTGTGGCTCATTTACAGAACCTCATTCTCTCATTCAAACCTGAGCTCTACAAGGAAACCTATGTGAAACAGATTTGTCATGGATTAAAGAGGAACAGGAAGGTCAGAATTTTAACTAATGGAGGCTCCTCTGGTGACGGCCTTCAGGTAAAGACCAAGGAGCGTTGGTGTCTCAGCCCCATAAGCAGCAGTGTGACGTGACGCCCCGTTTCTTTGCTCCACAGCAGCTCACTGAAGGCAGCGACAGCAGTCTGCTCTTTGACTGGAGGGAAAGGTTTCCCAAAGCTCTTTGCACCCTCAGGCAGTTCGAGGACCATGGGCTTCACTGCAACAAGGCACCACCAACACCCTAATAACCCCCTCTCTGTTCTCCCGACCGACCCGAACAAAAATGCTCTATTTACAAGCTATTTGTCCCAAATTGGTGAACCCGTGGAAGCAAAAACTCAGGCCGACTCTGTTACCTTGCATTGCGGAAGGCGATGGACCGGCGTGAGACCCAGCAGCAGCGCAGGCAGCAGCTCTCCCAGCGACTCCGACCACAGACAGTTGGAGCAGGTGCGACCAGCAAGAGACTCTCACCAGTAAATCATCACTTCACGAGCAAAACACTCAAGTGCTTGCCCAGAAACAAAAGCAGTCACATCATAAACCGGAGGGTGACATCAGCACAGGGATTGCATTTCCTACAGAGGTTTAAATGTCATTACTTGTGACTGGAAATTGGACACTTACAATTCAAGTTACTCTCAATTTTCAGAAGAGACATAAGAATTCTGATTCCAATTTTGTGTACATATATTTCACTTCCAAACCCTTTCTGTTTCTCAATGTCAAAATAACAGAAAAGAAAGAGAACAAGCAGAACACCTAACAGGAAGTGAAAAGCTAATGAACATCAGCATTAGCCTGACTTACCAAGTCAGGTGCTAATAAGGTGAGCAGCAGAACTCATTGATTTCCCAGGGAAAGGGTCGGTGTTACTCAAACAGCATGATATACTCGGAGCCCAGTTATTCATGATCTCTGGACTGCCCTCTTCGACTCTTATTCAAAGTTCTGCTCTGTGTCTCCTTCTGAAGTTAAGACTCAGAGCTATGAAGGACCTGAAAGCATGAATTTCATCGCTCCTTAGTCAAGTCACTGTTTCCCAGAGCGTGGAGCATGACACAGTCTCTGCATACGGTCCAACACCTTCACCAGCCCCAAGCACATTTGTGATTTTCCTCACACAGCTCTTCGGGCTCTCCAAAAGCAACACATCCAAAACTTCTACACAAGCGCAATGGTCCAGATTTAATCTTCCTGTGAGTTATATGATGTTTGCATAGGCTTGAGAAATACTAGAAATAAAACTTCTCTTGGCTGAGTTACATGCAACACGCTGTCTACTTTTTGCTATTAATGACTCTTCAGTAAGTACTGCTATTACTCTACACATTCCAGATCCCTCTGAAATAGGCGTCGCAGCAATTTTCTTGATATGAAGTGTTCACTGAGTTAAAGGCAGCCAATGAAATGCCTTAAAATTTAAACACTGACTTTTCTATTTGAAGATTTCCATGTGCCGAGAAAAGATGCCGATAAGAATAACTAATCCTCATGCGAGGACACAAACTAAAGATTAGTTTCTTTGCTTGGAAAGCAGTTTAGCTCCCTGACTCCCTACTGCAAATAACACAAATATGTATGATGATCCAGTGCAAGACCATAAATGCAGGAGTGCTCTGTTTCCACAGATCCAACACCCCATACCTCTCATAGGATTGTTGCTTCCTCAATTCCCTAACAGCTGTCACCAGCAAAAACATTATTTACCCTTATAATACCTGCAGGACAGGGGGTTATTTTATCTCCCTCCTGGGATTTGCACCTTGGAGGGTTTTGGCACAAGGCAAGCCTGGTAGAACTAAAAATGGAACCAAGATCCGAGTCCCCATCCATCTTTCTTCTCCTTCTGAGATGCAGCACATATCCCCGTCAGCCTGCAAACTGTGAGACCCACTAATGCACGTTGTAGACCTACGTCCAAATAGATTCCACCAACTGAACTTTGTGCGAGAAGCTAGGAGAAAAAGGAAGGAAGAGAAGGACCTGATCTTTAAAGTCCTTTCCAACCCAAACCATGCTATAACAGACAGACACAGTGCTTTGCAGTTAAAGTACAGCTAATCCAGACTCCAGATCTTTCGACCAAGTAACACCACGCCTTTGCTAGTCACTCCTACTATTTAAATTTTGGGCTTTGAAAGTAAGCACGCCGAGCTGGAAGAAGGCACCGGAGTGGTACAGCGCCAGGAGTTACGAACCACTTCATACTGCATTAGTTCTTAAGAACAGAAAAAGCCATGTTTTCCTCAAACGAGGGTAGCGGAATTCCGAGGTGAGGTGAAAAGCGTGGCAAAAGTCAGCAGTTCAGGCTGGTACGTGGCATCACGGTGCTGACAAAAGTAGTCCTTGCACTCAGAGACAGTTCAGGATCCACTTTTTCTGTTTCTGTTCTTTCTTCACCGTCTTCACATCCTAAGCGATATCTAAGAATAATGCCATCTGATGCAGACCTCAAAGAGGAATTTTGTCTTTACGGTTGGATTTGATGATCTTGAAGGTCTTTTCTAACCTACATAATTCTGTGATTCTGTCTCCAACCATGCTGAAGTTAGTTAGGCCTTTCAGATAGACATTTTCTATTATTACTCAATTTCTTTTGTTTCATTGGAAGAGCCTTAAAAACCAGACATTTTTTCCCCAGCAGTAATGAGTTAGTATACACACTTTTTTAGTGGAAAATGGCATGATCTGCAGCCACACAGATCCAAACTACGGCAGAAAGTACCTAACGCCTGATACACTCACATGAGGGAAATCCTGTGGGCTTGTATCATTCAAGAAATAAGGTTGCTTTAGAGTTACAGGAAAAACACGTGTCCAGAATAGGCTCTAAACTGGTAAGATGCAGCTTGAAAATCAACTGTTAAGTGTTTTTACAATTTGCATTTTATATTCAAAAGCCTCCCAAAGACCTCAGTAGGCAGAGCGCAGCCTGGAAAGGATTTTTATGGTTACACTGTAAACCCACAGAAAGCAGGGATCTAGAACAGAAACAGTTCATTACAGCTAAAATACTGATCCTGGGTTCTGCCTGAAACAGCTGGGACTGTTCCTCCAGTTAAGCGAATTCCTGTTACTGAAACTGACTCTGATATTTAAAGAAATTTGGAAGAGATGCTGAGTAGTCACTCTTCTTCTCAGATATCAATTAATACAGTCCCAATCTTGTTAAGTTTCTAAATGAACACTTGAAATTTAGGTAAACCAATTCAACATATCAAGGCCATATTTACATTCTGGGGTAATAATTAAATATTTAATATCTTGTGGTTCCAGTATTCTAGGTTTTTCTATGCACCAAAATAGTTAGTCATGCAAAAAACATCTGTAGCAGCTGGAAGACATTCATTTGGCCCGCTAAGATTCATTAGTTTAAAAATACATAAATAAAGTGTTCATTTTATTTCCAAAAAGCTAACACTGCTGCTTTCAGCTCTATTAGGGTGCTTGGTGAATAATGCTTATGCAATGTTGTCAGCAGGAGGTACTGGATGCCACAGTTTCACAAATGCATACAAATATCTGTTAACTAAAACAAGTCTTGTATTTAGGTTAACGCTCTTCTGCACTAACTCAAGTCATTGAGCAATATGAAAACCAGCTTGCAAATGGTTCAATCTCTGTTTTCATCCTTTCTCCTAAGCTCCCAAATTCCCACTGCTGAAATCTACTTTTAAAAACTACCAGTGAAAAGAAATTTCTCTTCAGTACTGGGATTCAGATACCTGCGCTAAAGAATTACAAAACACAAGCCTTCATGCATGCCTTTTCCCTCCAAGAAGTTCCTGCATAATCTTAACACAGCTTTTTAAAAATCAAGTAAACAAGAGGCACAGCTGAGATTGTAAAAAGAGAGTTGAATTTGGCTTCGTATCCACAGGGATCACTTTTCTGGCCACGGTTCGCTAAGGGTTATTTATTGGCTAGCCATTTTTCTTTTGCTGGAAGATGTTGAGGTTTTAGCAAAGTTTCTGCAGAGTATGCAACAGTATTCAACGTTTGCTCAGCTAACGAGTTAAATCACTGCAGCCCTCCGATGACTTGAAGATTATGGGTGTAGGAAAAGGGAATGCTTGGAGAAGGGAACTTTCAGCAGTCACCACCAAACTGCGGTTAAAACAGACACCAATGACTCTATTCAGCTCCCAAACCTCAGACAGTTTCCATTTTCTCAATAACAAAGCATTTTTGTGGAATGAGGTAACAGCCTCCATCTGCCAGGTCTAGCTCTCCACTAAGATTTCTCAAGAGCCTGGCTGAACCGGGACGCTGCACAGGGCAGAGTCCTTACGGGGAAACAAAGGGACAAAGCTGCACCAGGACAGACGAGGAGAGGAGCCTCTTCGGCACCTTCACGCAAATTCTCTTGGGAGTTTGCATCAAAAGTGGCCTCAAGTGAGCTCCGACCAGTGCACGGCCAGAGAGCGCAGAATGCTGAGGGAAGAAGGAGACTTTCCAGTAAGGATGGACTGGGATGGGCAGGGGGAGCAGAAAACAAAGGGGTGCTGTGGGTTCGGTGTTCAGCGATCCATCGTAAAGGTGTCACCAGTTCAGAGCGGCGTGCTTTAGAAGTGAACACAAGTCCCTGAGCACAGGTTGCGAGACGCAAAGGGGAACACAGACACGCTGGTCCCCTGGGACTGCACAGCCCACGGGAACGGCCGCCTGAGCTGGGGTATACCCTTCCACACCTGAAATGATGTACGTCTGAGCCAGAGCACTTACAGCCCCAGAAGAGAGAACTGGGAGGGTTTTAGGGTTTGTTCTTGCCTTGGTTTTGTATTTGGCAGCCTGTACCTCAGCCCCTCGTTTCCAGGGATGCTGAGCACCTATCCATTCTTTTGATTTTGCCAAAGTCAGCTCGGTTCCTCTGAAAAGCAGACTGTTCGTTTAGATTCAGGCGAAGCTTCTGCCTCCTGTTGGGACCCCACACCCCACTCTCACCTCCCTCTGTCAGCAGCCGCTTGTTAGTCAGCTCCCGCGCAATCCTGAGACTCTCAGCTCCAGGTTCAACACATCCCAACTGCCTGCCCTACCAACGGAGGAGCAAAGAACACCACAGCTCCAGGCTCACTCCTGCAAATAACGGTAAAAACCTTGGAACGGCATGGAGAGATGAGGCCCACTGGAAAGAGCGTGGAGGAAAAGGTGGCTACACAGCACGTAACATTAGGAAATTATCTTCATGGTGTATGCGAGTCTTCTGAACTACTTTTTGTCCCTGCTTATGTAAACCTTTAAAAAACAATGCAGGAAATTCTCCAGGACACAGTAGCAACTGGTGCAGAGGGAGGACCTGCGACTCGGGCAGGTCAGAACACACAGGATCCAAAACTTAGCTACTACTTTGGTAAATAGTGCTACCAAGAGCAGTTACTCACAGCATTTACAGCCCTCATTCTGCCTGGGACAGAGGACATTTGAATACAAATTTTAAGAACCGCAATTCAGAGGGATTAGAAAACATTTCTAGAAAATGCATTCTGATTGCATTATTTTAGTCTGGTGCATCACGTTTTATATTTACAAGGACAACAACAAAGATTCCCAAGCAGAAACCACCCCAAAGCCATTTTGCGCAAATTTAATTTAAATTTGCAACCTCCAGATCTATGATACTATTGCAGTACAAAGGAAGAATCAATGGGGACAGAAACGTAAGGGTAGATGGTCCCATTTAACATTCACCAGAGCATCAACTTTACACACTTTTGCTATTCCATAACCAAAGCCTTAACAAAAGCAAATACATTTAACCCTGGTGCTATTTAGTCCTAGGGAGATGCTGAAATCTGTGCATTTATATGTTAGTCATACGCACTAACAAGCAACAAACTCATAAAAATGCATGGAGCAACTGGAACTCAACTCACCTGCAACCCAAATTGAGCAATGTGCTAATTAGGAGGGACGTTTCACTTCCAAAGATGCCAATTCTCTAACCATCAATCTTTATTTCTGCAGATCAGACACAGCCACCCAGACGTGCACTGATGCAAACCAAGGAGGAGCTTTTCAGTATCAGAAGATCTGGGGTATACTCCCACCACTGCTGCTGATTTCCTGAGTGGCATCATACAACTTCCTTCCCACCTACACATCTAGTTCTCTCACCGAAAGCAAAGGCAGTTTTTCAGCTGGTTTTCTGAAGGCCTTTGAGTTCCTGTAGCACTTTCTCTTGAAGTTTTGAAAACATTAATATTGACCTCCTCACTCTCTAGTTTATTACCACATACCCAGCTGGATACCTGGAGAACGCAGCTGGCAAGTGCCATACCTTCCTTCCCAGCCAGGACAAAACCTTTCCCAAGCCAGTTTTCTTCCTAGGAAGAACGCTGCTGTCAAATCTCAGAAATCCACGCTGCTAATACTAGTCTCAGTGCAAGGTCAGCCAAAGAGGACTTCCATCGGAGATGAGCTCTGCTAGAGAAGGTTCCCTGGAGATTATAAGAATAGTACAGTCAAGCCCAGATGGCAACAACGTGCAGAGCACATTTCCAGCACACACAGTGACTGGGCAGAGGACTATGCAGGCTGAAGTCCACCCCGATTTCTGCCTTCGCTAGCTAAACGATGAAGTCTAGGCTGAGGCCTTTGGGAAAGGTCAGGATAGTCTTACAGGCTCTCAAGATACTGCTTTTGTTCTCAGTATTTGCCTCTCAATTCCTTTGTTAAAAGATACTAATCTCTCTGTAAGGCAGTTATTTGGAGCCAAGAGTTTAGATATTATTGCAAAACATATGCTTAAAAGAGACTGGAAATGATGTTGGCAGCGTTACAGAGGAGAGCGAAGCGCAGCTTTGGGTCAAAACAAAAAAAAATAAATCTAAGCTAGTAAGCAATTCCCATGCGATAGTTTAGGAGAGCCAGCAAAAGCTTCTTCTAGAAAGAAAACAACACTGTGAGAACGAAGCTAACAAGAGCTGGCTGTTGGAAAAATAAAACGGCCAGTAATGAGCCAGAGTATTGCCAACAGCACATATCCAAGAGAATCTTTCTGGGAAACCGACCCAAGTCATTACGCTGGAAAGCCCTGAGGGACTAGGGACCTTGAGGCTAAAAGCTGGCAAATTGCTTCATCAGTTAAGGTTGGTCCCAATGTTTTCTACTGCGTAAGAATAATTTGTTTTAGCCTGCAGGTCTCTACAGAGCAATGGGTAAATTCAGGCTGCTTCCTCTGGGAAGGGAAGCAGAGTACTCGGCAAAGCCCTGCCCAACAGGACGCTTTTAGAAGGTTTCCCACCACCGCTGACCTCCCTTCAGCCCAACCGCCATCCCGGCACACTCACACTGCTGGCTTTGCTTCGCGCCCTGCGCACCACTGGCACTGCTCGGCGCACCAGGCACCGCCTGCCCATTACCTGGTGGGAAAACCATCCCAGCTATTTTGGCCAGCACTCCACCAGCGAGCGGTCGCCACAAAAATGTGATGACTGTGCCTCCACAAAAGCATCTTCTGGAGACTCATTCACCCACAATGGATGCAGTTGGACCAATTATTCTGATGTATCTTGTTTTCCAGAGGGAAAAGGAGACCATGCTCTACCTCTTTGTTTCAGAGAGATTAGTTAATACACCAGAAAATAGGTACACTGATGCAGAGTGATAAAGGCGAGGCTTTTGTCTGCAGCCTTCTCTTTCATTTCCAGTCCAGCTACTCACAGTTACAGGAGTGTATGGAGAGCACAGAAGACAACGAATGTGATCTCTAATTGTGCTTCTGTGCTGGCAGAGAAAAATCCTGCATTGGCAGGGGACGTCAAGGCGCTGTCTAATGACTTTCCTCCTCTTCCAACTCCTTTTCTGATTCACGTTGCCATCTTCCTTGCAATTGACCTAAATAACATGTTCAGGCAGCACTGGAAGTATTTCCGCCTCATACTTCAACAGCAGCACGATCTCTGCGTCTGGAAAGGGCATTTCTCAGGAGAGTCACGCTCAGGAGCGCCTTTCCCAAGAAAGGGAGAGAATCACCCTGTCTTGTCTCATCCCATCAGTGAGGCTTCCTGGCGGCAGGAGAACAAAGGTCGCCAAGGAGCGGAGAAAACACACGCTACATCTGTGCCCGAGCCCCAGCTAACCTGAACAACGTGGGCAGAGTATTCAGTTACCTCATTTCCAGGTGTGCCGTCAGCGTGAGCCACGACTGGCTTGGGATGAAAGGGGAAAAACCGTTTCTAGATCTGGACTTGTCTGTATCGTTTATGGTAATTACTGCCCAGCATCCTTTAATCCTTTAACGTCATATCACACACAGCCCTCAGTTCCTCTGCAACCTTTTGATCACCGCTTGCTGTTCCCCTACAGACGAGGACGGAGGACAGCGTGCGGGACCGCAGCAAGCCACCAGCGCCAAAGGCACGCCAACCCTGGCCTCGGGAAGGGGACAGCAAGGAAAGCCGCTGCACATGGACTTTGGCAGGTCAGCCATCTTCAGACACGCAGAGATTGGGTATGCTGGCAACGTACAGGCACTTAAAACAGTTGTATATCCAAACAGTGATAGTACCTCTCCAGCTATTCACTTCAGCACTTTTTATAACGTAACACAGCGTTCAACAGCACTGCACCACAGAACACAGGGACAATCCAACCCCTGTCACTCCACGGTGGCTTCACACACAGAAAGGTTTTTGATCTTCTCACAATCTCATTCTTTACTTTGCCATAAGTTTAGGCACTCCTGATAGCCACGTAGATACGTCACCTCCTTACAACCCCCCGCAGAGTACTAATCTCAATGTTATCTTACAGCAGTGGCCTTCGCAGGCTGTGTACTGAGTAAATGAAAAGGTAAAAAGTCAGTTGAAAATGCACTTATTGCCGACAAGGAAACGGACTGTGGGGAAATAGAGGATTCCAAAGCTGCACAGACTGCCACGGCACTTCCAGCTCTCAAGCAAGAAAGTGATAGCCTGGGGCTCGCGCACCAGACCCCGCAAGGCAGGCGCTACATCCTCGGCAGCCGAACAGATCCCTTTCTTATTCAGAGGATACACATAAAGACAGCTCCCCTACTGCAACAGAAAGGAAGTTACACTTGATCTGTACCACCTCTTTTTCAGGTAACTGAGCTTCAAAAGTAGAGCAGAAAAGATGCAAACGAAACTCACGCATCTTTGTGCTACAGCACGCCCATTTAGTCCACAACAGCTAGTCCATATCTGTTATCTCTACGTTTTTTATTAGCTCATGTTTACTTTGGCTGCACATCATTTAAACAGGGTGAGAGAGGAAAATCTTGGACTCTCAACAATGGCCAAGCAGCTTAATCTGCCACTGGGGACAATGACTTGACTCCTATTGGCGTTTAGCGCTGGCAGGGTCAAGTGTAACATGTGCTGAAGGAAGCACTAGGGAAGCAGATCCGCAGCCGTTCCAGCAACACCGAGTGTTTCCTTGAGCTATTCAGAGGTCCCTTTTCCCCTCGTGTGTCGGGAGAACAGCTCCAGCTGTCCAGTCACCTGCACTGGCTTCTCCACTCACTGGATTTATGACACTGGAGGCTGCTAACAGCTCCAGGTTAGATGCAGCACATTCCTTGGGCTTATAGCTCAGACATTCAAAACTAAGTTAGGAAGCAGTAAAGATTATGTTCCTGGCATCAGCCACCAGGTTGGTGCTGGAACATAATTTATATTCCTGAACAGAACTGGCACTGGGCAGGTTGCGCACAAACGTCAACAAACTTTCACCCAGCGATGACACCAATCAGAAGGGTCTAGTGTCAATATTTATCCATGGTGCTGATTTAAGAATTTTTTTCTTTTGCATTTGAGAATTTTGAAATACTTTGTAGAAGAACTCTGCAACTTGCAAGCCTAGGCCAATCTACAGTAATGTATTCTGAGCCAAATAAAAAATAATGTGAGTTAACGTTAACGGTCAGATGACCAGAGGCCAAATAAAGCCAAAGTGAGACTGCACTAAGAACAAGAACATAAGTTTCAGGATTTCTATTGCATCGCTATTTGGATCCTTTGTTAACACATTTCTAAATAACTCTTCATTAACTATTAATATAGCTTATTAACATTAGCCATAATGGACACGTCTTTCTGATTCCTCCCAGGGTAATACTATCCTCTCAGCGGGCTCTTGTTGAGTAAGGGCAGAATCATTTGTTGAAAGTGTTCTCCGTTTAGTAAATATCAACGGACATAAAGCGAGTCACTCTGCAGAGGCAATTCTGTTCGGATGAAACACAGGAAGGTGGAAGCCATGTGGCATTCTTCAGTTTCCCCTTTCCTTTCACAATCAGACCCTTGATATTTTCTTCAACAGGAAAACTGACACTCCCCCTCCGTGTAAACTGCTGACAATTGTATTTTACACCTGGCAAAACCAGTGCAAAACGGAAGGAAGAGAAGAAACAAAGACCACAGACTTTTCTCAGCAACTACATCTCTGCAGAATGGAGCATTTTTCTTTCCAACTGCAGCTAAAGACCCACCACTTCTTCATGGACAAAGTCTGGCAACTACCTATCAGCCTTCATGGGAAATGCCACCTCCTCCCCGGCGAACGGCTGCGGAGCAGAGAATGCCGCGCAGATTCACGGCAGCTGCTTCACGAGCACAGCCAGAGCGGCCGAGCCTGCCTGCGGGACCCACATCCCTTTGACACCAACACGGCATGCGCAGCTGAGCCCCTCTGCTCGTGAACTCTCAGCCCTCGTACTTGAACCTCCTACCCTTTAAAAGTGATCCTAAACTCTTGGTAGTAATCTGAAGATTAAAGAATACTGGTAAAGTTTCTCTGCCCCTAACAACGTGTCATTTCCTTTTCCTAGATGCAGCTGGTGTCTCTTGTTAAGTGTCCTTTTTTCTTTCGTTTCTTTTTTTTTTTTTTTTTCATGACACCACCAGGCAAAACATTGTCAAGTTCTCTATGAATTTTCCAGTTTGGCCATCGAAATTACACCTGCTTCAGCAGAAACAGTTGAAGTCCCCTAAGGAACAAGGCATAGCAGCTTGCACTCCGGAGTCAAATGCTCAGCTGAACTGCAAGTGTCGTTCGCGCCACCTTCTTGCCAGACCACACTGGGTGCTCCACAGTGGGCACAGGCAATCCAAGAACAGCAAATGTCGACCAAGGATACTGAATAATGAACACCAGGGAAGAAATGGTTTCCTTACTTCCTTACTTGAGCAATTACAAGAAATCATGCAGCTGTTTGTCTAGTTAACAAGTTTGGCTTTTATTCAGACCAGCCAGCCAGTCAGTCCCCAGTTTTCCGTAAACACCTTCTTTGTCTACGGAAGCTGTTTCACACGAAAGGTGAGGCAGAGGCAAAAAGGTTTACACTCACATCTCTCTCCTGAGGCTACTGCTGCAATAAGGGCTCTTCAAGCAAGACCTCATGCAAGCTAAGGACTGTGAAAATCCCACAGACGTGAATGAGGACCCAAGCAGGCCACCATGAAAATCCTGTGTATCAGCGCTGTGACTAGCATCAGAGGGAGAGGGGCCAGGAATCACTTGAGCACTAAGAGTAATCAATTTATTCCATTTTCCTGCTGGCATTTCAAAAAACAGCAGGCCACATAACAGCATCAGCTCAGCCGCAATTAGGAACACAGTAGAAAGCATCCCATCTCACAGAGCAAGCAATAGAGCAAGCAAGTCCTGGCTGAGAACAGAACCAAGCGCTTCCAAAATTGGTGCACTGTGAATTTCAATAGTCTGCTCACAGAGAAGTTTTTCCTGGCTCCATCAGTTAAGGGTTCACCTCCATCTTAAAGCTGCCCAGTCCAAAACCCAAAAGAACATCAATGAGCTCATACCCCTCAGAAGTCTATTGACCAATGACCACTGCCCACAGCCGCACAAGGCTGGTACTCTACAGAAAAAAAAAACCAACACCAAAACCATGAGTGATAAGGGCAACCACAACGACACGGGCACAGAAAGACACTCCTGCCTTTCTTCCCCGCGATGATCTCGGAGAGCTGAGCCACCCAGCTGCCAGCTGTGTCCCCAGGCAGCGCGGCTGCCCCAGAGCTCACTGTAAACCCAACTGCAGCGTAAACAGGAAGCAGAGCTGACAACAGACGTGCTGCAGATCCTGCAGAGGGAATGGCAGCGACCTACCGTCTTCCCAAAGACCAAGGAACCAGCCTGACCTTCAGCACATGAGTCACTGCTCAGCTCTTCGGATGCTATTCTGCAAGCAGGGGAAGATGCACAGATTTTCCCCCAAACACCACCTCAAAAACATCCAACATCGAGAAACAATGGTGCTCCAGAACTGGAGAAGTGGTGCTCCAGAAGCTGAGACCATAGAACTGTTCACAGGGCTTCCTGCGAGGGAATTCTGTATATTTCCAAGGACCACTCTGCCTTTGGTGCGTGCCCACCACTCACTATGTACAGATATAAGACGTTCTTATTACAAAACATACTTTTTGCTGTAGAGCATCCACTATAATTAGTGCCCACAACTATCTATATTGCCTGTATTTTTGTCTCCTATGCTATGCCACCAGCCTTAAAAGTATACAAAAATCATAGACCTAGCTGCGTAGGAATTAAACTAACGCTCACAACTCCGTGCCTCTAAGGAAACAGCCAGCCGGAGAAGCAAGAGTACCACACGGTCTCTATCCTAGGTAAAGGAAAGAAAATGGCACAAAAATAAGACAGCAGAAACATCAGACTCCCCCCTTTCCTGCCGGTGGCCTGCCTATCGGGAAGTTAAGCCACATTTTGATAAAGCAGATTAGGTAATTGAGGCGGCTTCAACACCTTTATGAACACCAGAAAAATACTACTCATGACAAAGGGGGATACTTAAATATGAGAGACTCCTAAGGAAATATCCAAGCAAACGCTTCTCAAAAATCAACAGTAAAGGCATACTAGACAGTCACACATTCATAGCAGCCAGAAGGGCCACAGATTTCTAACGCTTGGTAGAGGAGTCAGAAAACTCAAGCAGTCTCCCCGTACTCTTCCCTCGTGGTTCACCAGGATACTGCGTTCACCAGACCTTCGGCCCAGTCTAGGTCAGCCTTCCCTGTGCTCCTGTAATTGGTTTTCCACTTTGGAAAGATCTCTTTGTGATTTTCAAAACTGGGAAACAGTGAACATATTAAATTCAAATCTAAGTATAGAGACCTTAGTACATGCTTCACCCAGGCTAACTATAAAGTATATCCAACATTTCCATGAATTCTCGTGGAAGAGTCAAAGTGCTTAATTCAACCACAAGTACAAAATACCAACAAAACTGGAAACCAAAAAAGAAAGCATTACCTGTAAGAAAACAGAGCAATCTGAAGCAAAACTGTGTTCAGTAAAAAAAAAAAAATTGAAAAGATGCTGAGCTATTTTTTAATATTCAAGATTCAAACTGTGCCTTTGGAGCCTTTGTTTAACACACACACACAAAAGCAAGGCTTCGAGTAGTCTTTCCCCGTACCTACCCTGGGACTCTCTGGAAACATAGCAACCGTTTAGGATGTGTTGAAAAATTCTCTATACTACGTTTGAGCATTTGGTTTAAGTTTACTTCTAAGTTTATTGGTTGGGTAAAGTTTCAAAGCTTTCTTAATAAACTACAGCTTAAGCATTGCAACTTTACAGTCTGGGAAAGACACGGCCGAAAGATTTTATTTTTTTTTTTTCTTTTAGAGAGCGGCGTAATCTGTGTTTCGCGGAGCTCTGCGAGCCAGCCCCATCGCGGGGAACGACAAAGCGCACCCAGCGGCGGTCCCACGGGACGCCCCGTCCCCCGGCAGCGCCGCGGGAGCACCGTCCCTCCCGCCGCCCTCTCCCCCGGGGCGACCCCCGCCCCC